ACCGATGGACCAGCGCTGCTGGCACTATCCTGACAGTGCTGCCAGCCTCCTGGGAGTCGGCCTTGAGCAACATGGCTGCTTCCCCTTCCTAGATGCTCTACAAGGAAGAAACGATGTAAAAGTGGCCATCAGGTGGCTCCCGACAACCAGCGCGAACGTCAGCAGGACGGATCCAGATCCTGGGCTGGCAAGGGCGTCCTACTGCCCACCCGGAAGGTCGATTTCATCCTGTTCTCCCCACACCCCCCTCGGGCAGGCGCCAGACGCAGGGCTCATGACTGGTGAGCGCCACTGTGGCAGCACGAACCTCTCTTGATCGGGACTGACTGGGGGCTAGCTTGTGGCAGGTGTAGCGGGGCCGAGATGAGCAGGAGCGGCAGGCAGGAGCAGCAGGCGGCATTGGACTGCAGGTTTTGGCCCGATCCCCACAGGCCACCCCGAAGGACCCCACCCATACACGAATTTATGCACGGGGCCTCTAGTATGTTAATAATGTCTGTTTGTATTCTTTTTCTCTTAGTTCCTGAAGCTCTTCATGCTCAAGAGATAAGAACATGAAGAGCTACTCATCCTGACCTTAATCAAATATGGTTTTGTAGTTTATTTTGTTGCTGTTGTTCACCTTAGCTTTATTTTTTTTAAATTAGAAGTGGATACTGAGCCTCCATTTTAAAAGAATCAACATTTAAAGTCGTTGTTTGAATTATGTATCTATTAATTTGTTTAATCAATCCCTTTTTAATTATTTTGTTCTGTAATTTCTTTTGGTGCATGTGTCCATCATTTCACTTTTTATATAATCCCAGATCCCCCGTTTTGCTTTCTCCCACGTCCCTAATCTATCACCAATGGATTTCATGTAACACACGTCTCCTCTGATTGCAATGTATAAAACAAGGTAAAACACCACCATTCTGCAGAGCATTACCCCAATACGTTGAGATTTTGCTTCCCAGCAACTGTCAACAGTTTGGCTCAAATAAACTCACAAAACTTCTTTACAGGTTTGAATGTTTATATGTTAACACCTATTATATGTCCAACTCAACACTTGCTCTCTCTGCCCTATACACCTTAAATACAAGACCATTTCAATACTTGGCAAACTTGGGATAGTGCCTGTATAGACATACAGCTGTCAGATGTTTTCTGTTGACTAATTGATCTGGCTTAGTCAGCAAACACTTAAAAATTTGAGGTCATAAATCTCTGAAAGTATGATAAGATGCATGGACCCTCTTCTCAGAAAAATACTTGCTCTGATATTTGCATACATAACATTCTACCACACAGTTTTAGAGGTTTCCAGGATCTCTCAGAGCCTGCCTGTCATCCCCAGGTCAAGAGCCTGTGCTTTTCTTCTATGCTTAGCAATCTGATTTGGGAACAGATCCCTCAGGTCCATCTCAGAACCATCTTGTTTTCTATGGTACCTGACTCCCAATTTTATTTCAACCCTCTAATTTCTTCTCATCAACTCTATTTTCTAATTCCAGTTTTTGCTCTAATCTGTTGTCTTTAATGACCATCCCATTCCTTTTTTTTCCTGCGAATCTTGTAATATAATTATTTTTCGAGATTTGTTTTGCCTTTTCTTTACATTTCGATTGATTTTCTATGTTTCCATTAATAAAATAACTTTTGTTACACTTGTAACATGCTAGGTACTTAAAAATATCAATAGTAATATTAGCTAATTATTATTGAGAGCCTCCTGGGCATTGTACTAAATGCTTGTTGAACCTTGTTATTAGTCATCACACAACCCTAAAAGGCATGTTATATCCTGTTGTATTGATAAGGACCCCAAGGATTCTTGAGATTAGGAAATTGATATATGCATATTTTTTCCATTAAACTGATTTCTATTTTTTTTCTGAAATAACTGTGTGTTGTTTTTATCTCATTCCTGGAAATGCAAAACAAAAACAATCAATGTAATTGCCAAAAGATAACTGTAGAATAAATGCATAATCCATAACTATTTTTAAGAATCTATATACCACCCCAAATTACCTACTGTACATCCTGTGATATAACATTGCCCTTATGCTATACTCATTTCTTAAGTTATTGCTGATTTTCTTTTCCGTCACTCCCTTCTCCTCCCTCCTCTTGCCTCTTTTCTTCCATTCTTAATTATCCCTCCTTCTATTCCGACCTTCTATCATCTTGTCTCTCTGAGGTATTTGAGTTCATCTTCCTCAAATGAAGATCTGATCTAGCCTTTCACCCTCAATCACCAGACTCCCTTAGGTCAAGAAACCCAACATGTGTTTCCTGTCCATGTGTCTCCTCAGTGCAAATATTAGCATTGGAAAAGCATTGCTCACACTGCTCCAGCTCCAGGCAGATTGGGGAGTGTGGTTCTGCTCACTTCACAGGCAATCTGTAGGTATAGAGCTTCATACTACCTGAGCTATTGGGTTCATTGGCTTGAGAACCAGGGTGTCAGACAAATCCCAACTACCTCCTCTCTCAGACCTCCAAACATTTGTAGGTCTGTACTCAGCCTTTCTACTCAGTGGACCCTTTCTCTTGAGTTGGTCTCAGGCAGTCCCATGACTCCAAATAAAATTTAAAATATGCTGTCTCTTAAACTTATATTTTTGGACCGGACCTCTCCCATTCTCTACTCTTGCATAATTTCTCTCATGCTGCAGTGATTTTTCTAAAATGGAAATAAGATCACATCACTTGCTGCTTAAAGAGTTCTGTTGTTACTAAGAAAGAAATTCAAGCTTATTAACACACTAGAGCACGGGTGGGCAAACCTTTTGACTTGAGGGCCACAATGGATTCTTAAACTGGACCGGAGGGCCGGAACAAAAGCATGGATGGAGTGTTTGTGTGAACTAATATTAATTCAAAGTAAACATCATTACATAAAAGGGTATGATCTTTTTTTTTTTTAGTTTTATTCATTTCAAACGGGCCGGATCCGTAGTTTGCCCACGGCTGCACTAGAGGCTCGGTGCATAAAATTCATGCATGGGTAGGGTCCCTAGACCTGGCCGGTGATCAGGGCCAATCAGGGCCTTCAGGCTGCCAGCGGGGGCCTTCCTTTGTTCTGCGCCGCCCTCTGGTGGTCAGTGCATGTCATAGCGAGCGATTGAATTCCCCGTCTCCAGGTCAAACTCCTGAGGGGACACTTTGCATATTGGCCTTTTTTTATATATAGATAGGGCACACTGGGCCCTGTTGATTCTGGTCCTGCCTACCTTCTTGATGTCACCTTCCTCTATATCTGCCTTGTCCATGAAGCTGTAGCTACCTTGACCTTTTTTTGTGCTCAAGACATGCTCAGTTCATTTCCATCTCAGGGACTCTGTACTTCCTGTAATTTTTCCTTGGGAAGTTTTTTCCAAATCTCTCCATGGCTGCTTTCTTTTTAGCATTCAGATCTCAATTCTATGCCACTTCTTCTGCCCTACAGCCGTCTACTCATCCTTAGTCACTAATGTTCTGTCTTCATTATGATACTTATCAATACTCAAAATTCTTTATTTATTAAAGTAAATATTTATTGCTGTTTCTTCTTTAGATTGTGAACTTCTTGAGGGCAGAGTCTGCTTGTCTTGCTTCCTGCAGAAGTCCTGCAGCCTAGAACAGCACCTAGCAGTAAGAGGCCCACAATAAATATTATTTGACAGGCCAAGTCTTCCAAAAAATGCTTTAGTTTCTTTGTTATAGAGCTTACTATGAGGTGTTTAATAAAATACCACTTTTCAGGAATATAGCAATGGCGTTAGAATCCTAAGATGCTCTTAGGGGACACTTGGTAGAAAGCCACGGTGTGGAACAGCCTGACATGGGCCTGTAAAACCTGGATCTATTCCTACTTGATGATAAGCATGTTTCAAACTGTCAAAAGCTGCTCAAGGAGTTAAAGAATTAAAGTGTGGGAGATAGCTTGGGGTTGGGAGCTGGTGGTAGAGAAAGGTGTTAGGTGAGTTGAATTCTCTTTTTGCCCTTTCAATTTTGGGATACACAGTGGAATTTTCTAAGAATTATCATGGGGGTTGGACTCTATTCAGCTCAATTCCATAATTTAAATTTTACTTTGTTTATAAATTAATCTGACTACCTAGTTCTAGTTTTTAGCTTGTATTTAGTAAAATCCTTCAATTAATGATAATCTTCTCTTTTATTTTTGTCTCTTATATGTTTATTTTCTAATTATTTGCAGTTTTCATTAAGAGAACATCATTTAGGCCCTAGCTGGTTTGGCTCAGTGGGTAGAGCGTCTGCCTGTGGACTGACTGGTCCAAGGTTCAATTCCGGTTAAGGGCACATGCCTGGGTTGCAGGCTCAAAACCCAGTAGGGGGCGTGCAGGAGGCAGCCAATCAATGATTCTCTCTCATCATTGATGTTTCTATCTCTCTCTCCCTCTTCCTTCCTCTCTGAAATATACATATATTATATTTAAAAAAAAGAAAACATCACTTAGCATAATAAAAAGAACCAGCCTTAGTTCCAGACTTAAGGTTTTCTATTCTTTTGCCTCAGGTCAAACTGAGTTTCAGCTTCTCATCTGGGAGATTTTATTTCCTCTCCAATTGAGTGGTATCTGAATGACTGTGGATATTTGGAAGATGGCGAAGGGAAGCTAAATAGGAGGTACATTTTATTTGGGTTTAAGGGGGATATAGGTTTGTGGTTTGCAGTCACTTCTGAGGGTAGTTAAATTATTGCTCGATGGTCTTGGTGTAGAAACTTCTTCCAGTGCTGAATTGGTTTAACCCTCATTATGACACAAAGAAACAGGGCCAGAGGCTGTATTCTCTTGTGCTTATCACTGGCGTATTTGGGTAGTTGGGGAGAAACAGACTTGAAATGAACAGAGCCAGAAGATAGTCTGGATTATTCGTCTGGATTCTGTGCTGTTTGTGAGCTTTGTGAATTATAGAATTTGTCTTGATTTCTTTTCAAATTTAAATAAATATTCACGTTAATGCCTAATTTTTATTTATAATTTGGTATTTCTTTTCTTAACAAGGGCCTTCTCAAATTGTATAAGCTTCAAGCTCTATAAAACCTGGATCTACTCCTATTTGATGGTAAGAATATTTAAGGCACTCTGATCTTTGTTGGGTTCAAACTTGTTTCACTAAAACCAATCTTAGTTATGGAGGAAATAGAAGCATATGGATCCCCCAATGCACTATAATTCCATGAATATTGTGCTCTTGGTAGAAGAGGTTCTACATTTTTCTAAAAGTGCTATTATTTTGTAATTTAAAAACACACACAACAACGTTTGGCAGAGCAGGTTCTCTCTGTGTGGCTTCAGTGCAAAAGCAAGAAGATATAGGGGTTCCTGCCATTGGAATCAGTTGGCAATCTTGTATATATATTTGGCAGCTGTATAACTAGTCTGTAAACTCACCACCTCCAACTCCTACTGAGACTGAAATCGGACTTAAAGGCAGCCCTATTTCAAGATTAGACAAGACCTGGAAGTCACAGAGCTGATCATTGCAACCATCCTTATTGCCCATGGCAGTCCCAATTTCTCTTCTCTATTTTTTCCCCAAAGTACTTATCACCATATGACCTATTAAATATGCTGTTGTTTGGTGTCTATTTACCCCAACTGGAATGTAATTTAGTGGTGATAGTAATATTTTACCTGTTTTATTCACTGCTGTATCCTCAATGCCTAGAAAAATGTCTGGCATATAGTAGATGTTAAAAAAATTTGTTGGGAGAATGAATGCTAGTATTAGTAGATGGAGTATGGCAAGATGACATTCCATTTCATTCTAAAAAATGCCATTTCTTTTCTCCATTTGCACAGGTTAAGTCAAAGTTCAGATTAAAAGATGTATACTCCACATTTCTCACATTGAAGCAAGATCTATAACTCATTTGTGCTGCTGATTAATAAATTGATGGTATAGTTGAATTGGATCATTCAAGGTGAGTGCAGATTAGTGTGTCTCTTCAGATCTTTCCTTTTTCTCTAAAATTATTTGAATTTATTATAAAAATATATATACTGATTATTAAAAAACACTTCAGAATTATATAACATATCTCCCTTCCTCTGACTACATTTCTGCAAAAATGACCACTGTTAAGACGTTGTTCTATAGCTTTCTTGGATCTCTTTCTTCTTTATAACTGTCAACTATTTTACTAAATATTCATATTGAACAGAGAGAGGCTTGCTTTGGGGAAATGCAGAAAATGAAAACATAATTCTTGATTTTGGGAAATCTATAATTTAAATATGGAGATAGAGCCAATATGTGAAAGAGACAATACTTCTGAAGACATATACAAGCAATTACTAATTAATTCTATGAAGATGAGAAACATAAGTGCTAGCAGACACAGAGTAATAGTGCCAACGTGGCCCAATGTGGCAGGGAAAATCAAGGAAGAGTACTGGTGGTACCATATGATGGCAAAGTGGTAATAAACAATGATCTTTCCTTAGTGTTTTTCTTCCCAAACAGTTATAAAAAGTATACTTAAAGGATAGTCTTCTCATATATGTAATTGAAAAAATAGGTGACTCCTTCTTAAAGAAATGGCCACCACTGCGTTAAGCTGTAAAGTCCCAGAAATAACTATGTGTGTCTGTGACACGATAAATACACTGATATGAGTCTGTGGGTAAAAGGTGAATAAAATTCTGTCCATTCCATGTAATCAGGAAAGGAAAAAGAGATCCTTTTGGGTGGCAAGGGTAAGGAATGACTTGCATGTAGATTATAATTTAAAGTTGACTTTTGAATTTGTCGAGCCTTTTGACCTGTATTCAGAATACTTGGCGAGGGCTTATGCCAGCAAGTTACAATCCTGTCTTTATCAGCAGCCACCTGCAGGGCTTTCGTCTCCAGCTGCTGCTTTTTTTCAAGCCATTGAAATTTTGTATTGAAAATGGCTGTAGACCAAATTGCGTTGACTAAGAAAAGAATGCAAAAGGGTAGCATTTCCCTAAAACCATTATTTGATTGGGACAAAGAGCAAGGTTTCCTGAATTGACCTTAAGTACAGATATTGAACTTGTTAACAATTACTAGTGTTCTTCCAAAAAAAACCCACATTACACCCCACCTCACTGGGTCCATTGAGGGGAGTGTTGTATAAAATGAAAGGGAATAAAGGAGCCCAAACTGCTTCTTCTCACAAGGTGCCATCAATAATGCCCACATGGGCGACCGTTCCCTGATTTAAGACCTTGTCTCCTTCATGCATCCACTGGAAATCCTTTGGATGGGCGAACACCCCTCCCCCCACCAACAGAATGTTAGATTCAGAAAGCTTCGGCCCATCCTGCTGCCCTGTCCTTATCCAGCCAATTTCCTTGGGCTCTTTCTTGTGCAGCATTTACTATTATCTTGATCATTTGTAGTGTTGAATTACTGATGAATATTTGTACTCCTAAACTTAGACCTGTGCATGTGTCAATACATGTAATACACATATGCACATAATAGGAGCTTTGTTCTAATTTTTAAATAGAAAAACATTTTCTTCTCGAAAGCCTCTGAGGAAAAGTAATCGGGAGAACACGGCAGGCTTTGGAAAATTGAGTTTCTGCTGAAAGTTTCCTGCTATCATCTTAGCAATCTTATTCTTATCAAAGCATTTGGATATTAGGTATGACAAAGCTCACTCACGGCAGGGAAGAGAGGAGCTAGGCCATACGTGGGAGGGGCCACCAACCACTGTGCCCCCTGTTGCAGCCATAATAATTTAATATTCTCATACTGGGAGGCTCCATTTTGCTTGGCTTGTATTGAGCTACTTGATGTGTTTGTTTCTCTTTGGCCAAACCATCAGGGTCTTCCCAGGAACAGCCTGTAAGACTTCAAATAAAGGATCATGCTGACACTGGCCTAAGGGTAGGATTTTTGTTTTTCCTGGAAGTCAGTAATTTAACTGTTACACTGAGGGAGGCTTCTGGGTTTGGAACAGAATTTATTTCAAGGTTGTATTGAACTTGTTAGTAGATCAATAGTTTTTCTTCTTATTGATTACTTGTCTCTTCACAAAAAATAGAGATTAAACGATAGAGACTAGGTACATTGGAGTTGTGACATGCTGATACCCCATTCTATTTGCTTTGTATTTGTGGCTGGATGCTTTATTTTTTCTTTTGCAGTGGATTTAACTCTTTTACCTAAATTTCTGGTTGCTATCAGGTAGGATTTGAAGCTGTCATGTTAAAAATGCTAAATAGAAGAGACAGATTATTCTTTCATGTAATTTCTACTCTTGTATTTTCCCTGGTATCAATGCCAAGATAGCCTCCCTGAAGTCTGTAGGGCATTGTCATTTGAAATAGATTCACAAGCCCAGCTATTTTAGCATCGTACAGTACAGAATGTACTATAAGGAGGATTTGTCTTAATCTGTAACCTATGAAACATTTTGTTATATTTTTATATCATAACATTTTTACTGTAAAAACATTTGGAGGATAGTTATTACAATGAGCTCCAGGGTTTTTCTGAGAAAGAAAAAGAAAAAAATTAATACACATTCTTTGTAAAACTGATTTAGACTGGGAAGTGGGGACTTATCCAAGGTTATGAATATAACAGAATGTATTGTTAAACTAGGATGACCTGACCACCATGTGGTTTTTTATTATCATGGGTTGTCTCCAAAACATACTTTTAAAAAGAACAAGAAATATTAGTAGAGCTGATAAGCATTTAGTCTTTTGTTTTTGTTCATTTCACTCCTAACAGTGGGAAGCTCTCACAGAAAATGCCTGGCTTAAAGTACCGCGGCTCCATGGGACAGTGAATATTTCAGTTGCTTCTTTTGTTCAACTGCTGATTTTATTTTAGGAATTTGAAGGCTTTACCTGTCAATAAAGGGATGGTTTTCTTTTGACCACAAGTCAGATCAGAGTTTAAGCAACGTGAGCTCATTAGGAAATACCAGGTTGTGGTTTGAAATGCCCCTCCGAGATTTCTGTGACCACAGTGGTCTTGTCTCTTGTTTTGGAGTCCAGTGACCTCAGGCATGAGGTCAGAGGGCATGGTGGGATTCTGAGCACTTCCATTGTTTGCATTTGTACTCAGATGGTGAATGAGTTATCAATACCAACCTTCATCTTCAAGTTGGGGTGATAGAGCATTTGAATAGAATTATTATTAGTATACATATGCTTAGTCCCCATGGACAAAGGCTGTTTAGGCAATGGCTCCTAACCATTAATATGACCATTATCATGATAACGAAGAAAGTAGTTTGGATTAAGGCACAGACCATCAAGGTTAACACCCTACTCTTTCTTTGAATGTATATATGTGTGTGTGTGTATACAATGCTGGAGAGGCAAACAATAGCATGAGGTGAGCATGAGGGAACTTCTCCCTCAATAAGAACCGTAAATGCTGAGATGAACATGGGTCTAGATGTGTGCATCTCTTTATAAACACCCACTGGTATCTAGTGATCGATTTTAAGAAAGAGATGTGAAATAGACACATAGACTATTCCGTGTGACATTTGCATTGTTAAATTTAAAAGGGACAATGTTCCGAACTTGGGTCTAAAGAAGGTAAGAGAGAAGAAAAAACAAAAACAAAACAAAAACAACAAAAAGCATATGCAGAGAGACATTACAAATTGCATTAACTCAGGCTCAAGATAACTTCAAAGTTCTATTGGAGAATTTTATTGGGAAAAGTTTAAGGTAAAATCTCCACCGGTTACACATGCTAACTCCGTGGTGGTAAGCATAGTAAAATTGTCACCTAATGACGGGTGCGACTATGTACAGCGGGGCCACTGGTTCCTCCTGAGGAGGAGCTCACGTTTTTCTTTTTAAAGTCTCGCTTGGCAAGCATCATCTAGCTTTACAGGCTCACTTGGCACAGACATTACAGCTAAAGGAGGCAGAGCGGCATGGACTTGGCGCTGATGGCTCTGGACCCCGTCCCAGCTCCTCCAGTTCGCAGTTGCATGGCCAAGAGCAAGTTATACCTCCCTGTGCCTCAGTTTCCTTATTTGTAAAATAAAGTTGTTATGAAGATTAAGTAAGTTTATATATGTATAGAATGTTTTAGCTCTGTGTGCCTCATTTCCTGTGTTAGAGATAGTAATCGTACTCCTCCCAGATAGTTATTGTTAGGGTTTAATGAATTAATATTGTATATTGAAGTGCTTAGAAAAGTGCCCTGGCACTGTGTAAATTTTAGCAATGTTTATTCTCCTACAGAATAAAGATCAGATTTTCCGAACTCCAATTCAGTTCTGTTAGAAAACACGCACAGCTAACTTCATGAGGAAGGTTGCTTCACTTGCAGTTCTTTAAGAAACAAAACAAAAAAACCTACTAGTTAGAAATTCTGGCCCATGGTCACACTGGTAGTTAACGGTTTTGTAATTCGTTGTTGGAAGCCACATCAGGGTAGGAGAAATTAATTCCCATGAAAACAACAATGGCTCTCTTTGGGGACCTACTCCTAACTTATTTTATCTCATTTTTTTTATTCAGAATGAAATATTTGGGTTCCAGAAAATCCATACTTTTAAAATGTCAGCACTCTCCCTTTACCTCCAATAAATTGCCTTCCTGAGAAAACTTTGTCCACTTTGAGAAGTGACTGGCATTGTTTCCCTGTTAAATTCTGAGTCCATACTGGTGCAGCTGGTGACAAGCAGTGAGCTGAAGATCACTGCAGTTGTTAGTGTTGGTTTTGGCATAGAAATGCCCAATTTGAAATCTTCAGACTTTGGGCCTTATAAATAACTTTTCATTATATTCATGCACCCATTCATTCAAAAACAATATTAGGATGCCTATGCTCTTGCACTGGGTTAGGTGTTGGGTACCTTAAAAAGAACATGTGTGTGTATTTTTTTAACTAGTCTACATGACCCTGTCTCAGTGTTTCCCATACTGTGGGTTGTGACATATTAATAGGTTGGAATAAAGATATAATGGATTGTGATTATAATAAAAAAAAATGAACTGAAATGAATTGAAAATGTCAGAGTGCCCTGCACATACTATTGTTTCCTGAAAGTTTTTAATATCTCTATTTCAGTATCTATCTCCGAGACACATGCACTTGTCACTATGTAAAATGTATTATTTTATATCACTATCCAGAAGCTTGAAAAGCCATGCAGTCAGTACTAATCTGCACCTCTCTGCACAGCATCCACCTTCCCTGCCTTCTCTCTTGCTCGCTCTGCTCCATACTATCCCCTTTGTTTTCCCTTTAGCTTCCCAACCACACTCCTCTCTCAGGACATTTGCATCTGTGATCAGCTCTGCTTCAAAAGCAATCTCTTAGATATATTCCTTTTTGATTCTGCTCAGATTTCACCTTCTCAGAGAGTCCTTGTCCTGACCACTCTCTAAAATAGCTCACCGTCCCCCATCCCCTCACCTCACATTCCTCTCTGCCTTGTTCAGCCTTATTTCTAGAGACTAGAGCTTAAATAGTCTCTGACATGTCATTGTCATCTGACATGATTTGTTGTTATTCTGTTTTCATCTGCTTTTTGTCTTTCTCCCGCCATCAGAATGATCACACCTTGAGTTCAGGTCTTGGTTCTGTTCACCACGGTACCACCGGGACCTAGAACAGTGCCTGGCATGTAGTAAATGCTTAAAAAAAATGTTGAATAACTAAAAGAACGAACAGACAGTCAATGAAATTAAAATGTCACATTGATTCCTACTGTATTGCTTGTAAATGATGTTGGAAGGATGACTGATTTAGATTCCTTACGCAGTCCTCAAAGATTTGGACTTGCCCCAGTTTTCCGTTTCATCAGTTGTCTTTTCCTTCCCTTTCTTGTCCCAGACCCATGTCACAATTGCTGTGCTCTGACAACTTGGAGATCCCAGAGGTCTATGAATACACAAAATTGTGATATACCTCTGAGCCTTTGCTTATGCTAGTCCCTCTGCCTGGAATGCCCTTCCCCCCAGTCTTGCTTCTTCTCTTCACCTGGATAACTGTGCTGGCCCTTCAAGATCCCATTTGGACCTCATCTTTTCTTAGAAGTCCTCCATGACCTCCCTGGCTGCGGAAGCTGCTTCCTCTCTGTGCTTTAACATCACTCTGTGGATTTTAAATACCTATTTGTGTGATTTCTTGCTTAGCAGCTGCTTGAGAACAAAAATAAGTCATTTATAATTTTATGTTCCCTAGACATCCCATTGTGCCTGGCATGTAATAGGAACTCAATAAATGTTTGTTTAGCTGAACGAAAACATGTTTGAAATTTCAGACAATTTATTTATTCATTTACCTGAACTGTATTTCTTTGAAATTGACAACTGACCTTTGACAAGTTATGTAAGTTCTTTAATCCATTATGTTTTTATGGTTATTTTATTGTTTTTCATTGATCAGAAGCAAACATTTCTTTAAAATTGCCTTGAGCGAGAGGAGAGGTTAAGTGGCCTGGATGAAGGAAAGATGGCAAGGCAGCGATGCAAAGGCACCCTCCGTCATGTTTTCTGGTGCACATCTCAGTTGTCTGTGGATGTTCTGTCAGTGGGTGGGTTCTTCTTGCTTTTGTTTTTCTCTGCATTTGTCTATTTCCTGAGAACTGGTCCTGGAGATGAGAAAGGGCTTTGAGTAAAATGTGAAGTTATCTTTTTAAATTCTGAGAACACACTGGTAAAAGATTCAGCCCAAGTGAAGATTTGGGATTATGTGTGGTTTTCATTTATATTTGATGCTTTGGATCCTTTTACTGTGGATAATTGAGAGTTGACTGAACATGTCAACTACCCAACTAAATATAACCCTCCAAGGAAAATTTATTCTTTGCACTCCTTTGCCTTTTTATTGTGATGAAAAAAGAGGAAAAAAAACCCAGAGACTCAACGGGCTGTAACTTTAATAGGTCATTCCAGCCAGTGCTTACCTTCACAAAATTCTGATAATGCAGCGAAGACAATACAGTGATCAAAAGCAGTGATGAGATTTTTTAGCAGCATTAACCGTCATGACCTAGCAAAATGAAGGAAAATGGTTTAACAGAACTGTCAGCTTCAATATAGCTAATAAAGGCATGGATAAATGTTTATTACATACCGGAGACAGATCATTTCTGTACAGAAATTGAGGATGACCTTTACTGATAACGCTTATCTGCCTGATATCCTGAGAGAGAGGGAGAGGGAGAGGGGAGAGAAGCATATTTGCTGATATTTATGAAAAGAGAAATTATCATGTGCAAATAAAACATTTTAGCAATGATTATCTCAGGTTGCCCTCTCGCCCTCACTTCCACCCTCACAGACATACTTCATGGAGGTAATACATAGATTCCCCTCTCGGGATCCAGTTGTGCCTGAGAGTGGAGTTGGTAAATTCAAGGGAAATTCTTCCTAAACTCACTGTGTCTTAAAAAGCAAAGAATAAGAGCACATAGATAAGAATACCTACAGAGATAATGTTCACTCTTAATTTCTTCCCAGATATTACGAAGATATCGCAGTTGTATGACATCTTTTTAATGAAATGGTCTCAATTGTAACTAGGAGTTTTAGAAAAATTAGTAATAACAAATCCATGTTCATTCTTCCATGGTAAGTTAATTAGCTGATATCCATAATATGCTTAGAACTTTTGAAAGACATTGCTATTTATCTTATTTTATTTTTTAAAAAATCTTTATTGTTGAAAGTATTATATATGTCCCCTTTTTCCCCCTATCAACCCCCTCTAGCCTACCACGACCCCCTGCCCCAGGCCCTAGCACCTCACTGTCTGCGTCCATGGGTTATGCATAAATGCATACAAGGTGAAAGACATTGCTA